GGTTAGGAAAAAGGTTAGTGTTTGATTTTCTTAAAGTTATTTTACATCGTTGCATATAAATATCTTTGTTTTTTGCTCTCTTACTTGGGCATATAACTTGATGCATAGGGAGAGGACGATTATGTAAGAAAATTCATAGGTGGACGATGACTAAGAAGTTGAAGACTGAAGCATTAGTATAGCTGCAAAACATTCTCAGTTTTTTTTTGTACAAATGGTTGCATCAAGAATTTGTGGGCTCTGGAGTTGAAGGATATAATAACTTATCAAAATTTTCTCGAATCTCTTTTTTGATCAATATTGACTCAGGACTTTTAAGTACTAAAGTTGGATAAAAGCTGAAAAGTTTAGTATGAGCTTTAAATCATGTTTGTCTTTATCAATACGAAACAATTGTTATACTCCGGAGTTATTGTCATACTTAGAATTTAACCTACGTGTGAATTGAAATTTAGTGTTCGTGTGAAAAACAATAACACAAAAGTTAATAAACAGAAGATCATCTAAAGGCTAATTAAAAAAAGTTTAGATTCGTTGTTGATGTTGTGAAGTGAGGGTTCATGTGTTTGTGTTTAGCTTTAATTTTCAGAATTAATTAGTTTCAAAGCTAAAATAGTTGAACTATACTGAGCTTTGTGATGTAGACTCTAATGTAAAATAGTTGTCTGGAGAAGATTTTGTTTTACTTAGATGTGACAATCTGATCTGAGTTATGTTACTAAGAAAGCATCGTAGCCTAAATCATAATCACGGACATTAATAAATAGGTTTCAAATAATTTTTTTTTGTTAGAAAATTTACCTCGATTCTTTACTTTCTATTGAAATTCGATGGTTTAAAAAAAACAATTACTCTTTTTGCTGTACTTTATTTTCATATTTTGATGTCTCCTCAATTTGTGAATTGAAGAAATAATCCAAATGAACACTCTTAAATCAGATTTTCAATAATTCAAGAGAAATTTAAAAAAATGCCACTTTTCAAGTGCTACTTTTCAAAAAATACCACACTTTTGAAATCTTTGCAAAAATGCCACTTTTTCAAAATTATTTTTTTATTATATTATTTATATTTTGGTTAACTATGTTCTATTAGAGTTTAGTTTTGAGGGTTTAGGGGAAGTTTAGGGGTCATAATATTTTGGGGGGGGGGGGGGTTATTCATAACTGGA